ACTATGCTGCTCCTGTTCGGGCAAAAGTCTTTTTCTGAAAGACTTTTGCGCAAAAGGGCCAGTGTAGACAGCATAGTACTGTTTTCCGCAAAAAAGCCCCGATCGCAAAAATGGCGATCGGGGCTTTTTTGCGGAAAAGCGCGTCTAGATAGGCCACGGACGCTTTTCCGCAAAAAGTACTTTTGCGGAAAAGCATCCTGCCAATCTAGAGGCGCTTTTCCGAAAATGCTTTTAACAGAAAAGTTTTCCGTTAAAAGCATTTTCGGAAAATCATGCCAGTGTACACGTAGCCCCAGAGTAGCCTTTTTGCTATAAGATGGCATTTCTAGTCCTGGCCATTTCCAGGTAATACATGGGCCATGTGGATGTGAAAACTACTGGGCAGTGTTTAATACACTTTTCTGAATCTCCATCCATTTTTAAGATGTTTTGAGGCAGTTAGTTTCACCAGACCAGTCCACAAATTCAGATTTCAAGGTCAGAATGGACCATTATATTCTAATCTGGCCTTCTGAATAACACAGACATACAACCTCACTCTGAGTATGTCTACACTGCAGATTTTTTTCAGAAAAATGGCCATTTTTCCAAACAAACTTCACTTACGTTCACACTGCAATCTCCTTCTTTCAGAAAAAAATATCGAAAGAACTGAGGGGTTTTTCCGAAATTCGTAACCCTCTTTTTTCAAAGAAGAGGCCTTTTTCCAAAAGAGCTCTTTTGCAAAAAGACGTATGTGGACAGGGAAAAGGGAGTTCTTTCAAAAGAAGAGGAAAGAGGAAAAAGCACAGGTGCCCTGGTGGCCTCTCCACCCATAATAATCACAGCTTAAATGCGAGATAGCGTCCATTCAATGTGGACGCTCTCTTTCGAAAAACCGAATGGCTTTTTCGATGCACTTTTGCAGTGTGGATGCTCTCTTGTGGAAGAAGTTTTTTGGAATATCTCTTCAGGAAAAGCTTGTTCCAATTGAAGCCTGAAGTCTAGACATACCCTCAATGTTTCCGCATGAGGCCAATAATGTGTGTTGAGTTAGAACATATCCTTTGCAAAGATATTCAGACTTGTCTTAGTCTTCAAGGGTACATCTACACTGCACAGTTATTTCGGGATACCAGAAGTCTCACATTGGCTCGTGAGCAGAGAGGAAGTCTCTAGGGAAACCTACTTCCAGAGGTATCTTGAAATAGCTACACTGCGTCTACACAAGCTGCCTGTTATTTCAAAGTATTTTTCAAAATAACGGGTGCACTATTTCACCATCCCAGTTAACCTCATTGCCCGAGGGATAAGGGATGGCTTGAAACAGCATGTTGTTTTGAAATTTGGCATTGTGTAGACATGCCAAATTTCAAAATAAGCGATTTTAAAATAATTTTTAAATAAGATACGCAATTTGCAATTGCGTAGCACAAACTGTGTATCTTATTTTGAGTTTAGGGTGCTGTGTAGACGCACTCCAAGTGATAAAAAATCCACCACTTTTCTAGGTAAGTTGTTCCAATGATTTACCTTTCCTGTTAAATGTGTGTACCTTATCACTAGTCTGAATTTGTCTAGCTCCATCATCAAACCACTGCTTCTCATAATGCCTTTTTGTACTAGATTAAAGACTTGATTATTGTTGGGGTTGGAGACGACAGGCCCTCAGCCTCAACTACAGCTCCGCCCTCTCTGTGGAGGCCCCGCCCCACCACAGGGAGGCAAAGAGCATGCACACGCCCCAGCATCCCTGGAGCAGCAGGGAGGGAAGAGGCTACACAGCCCGAGCCTCCCTGCCCCCAGGAGCAGAAGGAAGGCAGTCGGCTGTGGCCTGAGCTGGCCCATGCCTCCCCACCCTGGGAGCAGTGGGAAGGGAGGAGGCCCCATGGCTCCAGCCTCCCTAGCCCACAGAGCACGGGGGAAGGAGGCGTTGTCATGGCCCAAGATGCCCCAGAACACGGGGACAGCAGGCACTTGGGGGCAGCAACACTCCTCCCCCAGTACATGTACAGCAGGTGTTCTGGGGATGGAGTGTGGGTGGGACCAAGCGGGGCCAAGCTGGCGGTTTGGGAAAGCAAAGCCTTCCCCTGCCTAAGTCACCTATGTGAGGAAGTCTAGACAGGCATCTTTTTCGAGCCCTTCAAAACCCCTTGACTCCTCATTGTGCCAGAGCTGGGAGCTCAGGGGAGTGATACAGCCTGCCCAGCTCCAGCTATCCAGGGAACAACACAGCAGGGGCACTAGTCCAACCACTGTTATTTGTCTCCAACACATTGCTGTGCAACGAGTTTCTCTTATTAACCCTGATCCTGAAGCAGGCTACTGGATAAGTGCGCTCCACTCCTCCTAATAGATTATTGGTCCTGGACACTTTGCATTCAGCCCCACATTAAGAGCAACCCATAAGCCACAAAAATGTAACATTGCACCCATATGAGCATAAGACAGAAACACCAGAAATGTTTTCCATAGCACTTGCCAACTTAAAACAAAAACAAAACAAAGAGACAGAGAGAAAAAATATGCAAATACTTTGAATCAGAGGGCTGTTACTTTTCTTAAAGGGCCACTTAAAGTTGACCTAATATTTAATCTGATATTCAAAATAAAACTATGTTTTGTAAATAAGAATGATGATCATCATCTTTTTCAAACCTAAGAGCAATAGCAATGTTTCCGTTTGAGTTCTTTTAAGTATTGTATATCATTTTCCAAAAAGTGATATTTGGGTATTTGTCAAGAGTCTGTGGACCAAATCTTCAGCTGCTATAAATCATTTTAGCATGTCTGCTTGCAATGGAGCTTGGCTAATTTACATCAGCTGAGGATTTGCATTCTAGAGCTAGATCTACACTACAGAGTTTTTGCACGAAAACGGCCAGTTTTGCACAAAAACTTGTGGAGCATCCACACCTCAAGTGTGTTTTTGCACAAGTAAAATGAAAGAACAGAGGGGTTTATCCATTGTAGGTATTCGTCCTTCTACAAGGAATAACTCCTTTTTGCGCAAGAGTTCTTGCAAAAGGTGTGTGTGGATGGGCAATAGGGGGTTTTTGTGCAAAAACAGGAAAAAGGAAAAAGCACAGACTGGTGGCCATTCTGTGGATAGCTATCAGCGCTTTCTTTCGAGAGAGCGTCTATTCAGTGTGGATGCTCTCTTGCGCAAAAGCACATCGCTTTTTCCATGCACTTTTGCAGTGTGGATGCACTCTTAGGGTATGTCTACACTGCCACCCTAATTCGAACTAGGGTGGCTAATGTAGGCATTCGAAGTTGCAAATGAAGCCGGGATTTAAATATCCCGGGCTTCATTTGCATCTTGCCGGGCGCCGCCATTTTTAAATCCCCCTTAGTGCGGACTCCGTACCCGCAGCTACACGCGGCATGGAGTAGGTAGTTCGAATTAGGCTCTCTAATTTGAACTACCGGTACACCTCATTCCACGAGGAGTAACGGTACTTTGAATTAGAGAGCCTAATTCGAACTACCTACTCCGTGCCGCATGTAGCCGCGGGCACAGAGTCTGCACTAAGGGGAATTTTAAAATGGCGGCGCCCAGCAAGATGCAAATGAAGCCCAGGATATTTAAATCCCGGGCTTCATTTGCAACTTCGAATGCCTACATTAGCCACCCTAGTTCGAACTGAGGTGGCAGTATAGACATACCCTTATTGCTTATTGCACAAGAAGCCTGTAGCGTAGACCTAGCGTAGGGAGCTACATTGATTTGTACAAGCTCAGGATCTGAAGTCAATAGATCTACACAGATTTATACTAGCTGGCCGTGTCTACATTGGCACCCCTTTCCGGAAAAGGGATGCTAATGAGACCAGTCGGAATTGCAAATGCACTTACAAGTAGGAATAAGGGATCTTCCAGAAAAGGGCTTATTTTCCGCAAGATCCCATCTAGACTGGCGCTTTTCTCCAGCAAAA